ACCCCAGGACCATGAGTGTGTAGTTTGTGCAAGAAAGGCAATGGGCCCCACTTTTCAGCAGACTTGTAAGCAAAGCAAAGGCTTTAGGTCTACATCAAAATACTTGCTAATAACTACACATTTAGATATTTTAAGTCAAAATAAAACATGTAGAGGAAAAATAGGCTGGGCACAGTGGCTCACACCTGTAATCCCGGCACTTTAGGAGGCTGGGGCAGGTGGATCACTTGAGGTCAGTTCAAGGCCAGCCTGGTCAACATGGTGAAATCCTGTCTCTACTAAAAATACAAAATTAGCCAGGTGTGGGCCGAGCATGGTGGCTGACTCACATCTGTAATCCTAGCACTTTGGGAGGCCGAGGCAGGCAGATCACCTGAGGTCAGAAGTCCAAGACCAGCCTGACCAACATAGTGAAACCCCATCTCTACTAAAAATACAAAAATTAGCCAGACATGGTAGCACATGCCTGTAATTCCAGCTACTTGGGAGGCTGAGGCAAGAGAAATGCTTGAAGCCGGGAGGCAGAGGTTGTGGTGAGCCAAGATTGTGCCACTGCACTCTAGCTGGGATGACAGAGCAAGACTGTGTCTGAAAAAAAAAAAGAAAAGAAAACATACAGTATATCTCTTTTATGAGTTCCTGGTTTAACAAACTTTTTCAATGAACTGGTCAATTACCAATTCCAGTGAAGTAAAATTGAATAAGAATTTAGCTATTTGGTTCAGACATATTTGACTTTGGCAAAGAAAACTAAAAAGCAAAAAATAAAAAATAAAAATGTGCCTACTTGGTAGAATAAAAGGCTGATCACTGTATCTGTCCTTGCCAATCTAAAAATTTATTGGTACATGAAATCAACCAATTCCAGCAGTCTGCGCTTTCCAAGGCTAAGCAGTTGTGAGCTCTATTTTTTTAAGATGTCAAGCAAAGGTAGCCTTTCACTTCACTTCAGTGCAAATTTATCTTACTCATGGATTTTGCAGGTTGCCAACTCAGTGTTTTTTTTTCTCCCTCAATTGACTCTCAAACAGTGCTGTCTTCTGAAAGCTAATGATATGCACATAGTTCTCAAAAGGAGGCTGTCCAAACCTTACAGGCTTATCAAGAGGAATCTTCTTTGAGACAAGGCCTCACTCTGTCCCCGAGGCTGGCGTGCAGCAGTATGATCTCCGCTCACTTGCAGCCTCACCTTCCTATGTTCAAGCGATCCTACCCCTCAGCCTCTGGAGTAGCTGGGACCACAGTCATGCACAACCACGCCCAGCTGATTTTTTAATTTTTGGTGGAGATATCCTTTCTGCAGGCCTCCCTATGTTGCTCAGGCTGGTCTCAAACTCCTGGGCTCAATCTATCACCCACCTTGGCCTCCCAAAGTGCTGAGATTAGAGGCGTGAGCCACCATGCCTGGCCTGGAATCTTTAAATATTAATAATTCAAAAACCAGGAAGGGAAGCCCCAGCAACTTTAGATGGCTATAAATAATTAGGCACTCAATCAGGATTGAGTGCTTAGAAATCTTGGAGTTTGTTTTAACAGAATGTGCTTTCCTGGAAATCATACAGCAAGATAGTAAATGCTACCCTCACTCAGACCTGAGGAACCATATTTAAGTTCTCTCTTTTGCAATAAACGTGCTAGCCAGCCACCCAAACTCTGCCTTAGCAAAGTCATGACGGGGCGCAGGAATACGATGGAGACTACACCCAGATACAAATCTGTAGACATTGTGAAACAATTTCCTTTCCTGACTCTTGTGTATATCTGCCTCCCTCCTCTCGCCCCAGCTACTTCTCTAGCGCGCTAAACTGTAGCTCAGGCTTGAGCAAACCGGGCTGGATTAGCAGCTGACTCCTACAGTCATAGCACCGCACAGAGAGAACCCAGACACTTCCTATCAGGACCACAAGGCAGAGATCTGCTCTGTCCAGCTCTGGAATTGACGGGACTGGCTCACGACTATCAACCCATTTCTGAGAATATGAAAAGGTCCCTTTCAGATTGCCACCAATTCAGAGGGCTAAAACTTTAGATAAAAACAGTAAATCCAGTAATCTATTCTCTCTTGTAGACACTTCCTTGTTTTTTTGAGACACAGTCTTGTTCTGTCACCCAAGCTGAAGTACAGTGGCATGATCACAGCTCACTGCTGCCTGGAACTCCTGGGCTCAACTGATCCACCTGCCTCAGTCTCCCAAGTAACTGGGACCACAGGCACCTGGCTAATTTTTGTTTTGTTTTGTTTTTTTATAGAGATAGAAATCCTCAAGCAATCCTCCCACCTCAGCCTCTGGAGTAACTGGGACTACAGGCATGCGCCACCACACCCAGCTAATTAATTAATTATTGTATGTCTCCCTATGTTGCCTAGGCTGCTCTCGAACTCCTGGGCTCAATCAATCACCTGCCTTGGCCTTCCAAAGCACTGGGATTATAGATGTGAGCCACCATGCCCAACCTGTAGACACCTTTTTCCAAAGTTTGACTAAGGCAACTAAAATGGATCAGAATGGATCGGTCTTCCCATGCTGTTTCACAACTCTTCAGCTCAGCCAGGTCACAACCTTCCTCCCAGCCCATGTCCACCATCCAGATGAAGGTAGAAGCAGCCCAATTCCTCCAACCAAGCCAAATTGAGCTAAATTCTAGTCTTCCCTGTGTGTCTAGCTTAATGTCAGAAGTTTCATGGCAATAATCTTTGCTGGGATCTATGATTGTATATTACCAGAAAAGATGAATTCCTTTCTATCCAACATAAGCATGTACTTATACGTTCTGGGTAGTGCTGGCTGCTTGAAATAAACTCTGAAATAAGTCCACTTCATGCATGATCGTTGAAATGTCACAGTGATGCTTTGGCCCCAAGGTCTTATATTATTACTTTTATTCTTATACCTTGACTTACTCTAATTTGGCTCTGTTTTGAGCTTTTCCATTTTAAGATCTCTCTGTGGGCGCTTCTTGCTCTGTAAATTTAAAACAGTCTATGTCAAAAACAGTCTCACTCTGACCTGACCAGCTTAGATGACTAGCTCAAGAATAGTTAAGCTTGCTTGGGCTCTGTGAAGTCCCCCAGGACAGAAAAGCCCTGGAGATTCCAGGGAATCATTTTTGAGGTCATGGGAGTAGGATCTCTCCACCAAGGTCACCAATGCCAGATGTGTGCATAGCTATGAGGTGTCCATAGCTATGAGAAGTCAGGCAAACCCCAGGACACATTGATATGGACTGCTAAACATGCCCACAGCCTCCTACCCGCTGGGTCACCAGCCTGTGGTGCTCAGGCACAGCTCGTCATCTCTTCCCAAGCCATGATGCCTTTCCCTGACACTTTATCCCCAACCCCTCCCTACAATCCACAAAATCAACCGAGGTGAAGTGATAGACCTTTGTCCTCCAGCCAGGGAACATCGTAGTCCCTTATGTCTCCCCAGTTCTCAGGAGGGGAAAGAGGAGTCTTTCCACTTCACGCTTCTGGGCAGTCAATCCTGAAATTCCTTAGGCTATTTGGCCCAGGACTTCCCTCCCAGAATGGTGAACACTGCTGCCTTTGCTCTGAGAGCTTGCCTTCTGCTCCAAATGCACTGCTTATTCATTGAGTCAACCAACAAACATTTGAGAACCCACCATGTGCCAGACAGTAACTAGGCACGGGAGATACGGGAGTGAATGAGACAAAGTCCCCACTTAAGGCAGCACACTGCCTAGTGGAGATGGGGAAAATGATAAACATAGACACCACTAAGTAAGTCACTTCACCCAAGGAAATAAAGCAGAGCAACAAGACAGAGAGAAACTGGAGGTGGGCTGCAGGGACCACTGCCGCTTAAGTGGCCAAGGAAGGCCTCTTCTAAGAGGTAACATTTAAGCTGAGATGTAATGATAAAAAGGAGCTAACTATTCGCCAATCTGTGGGAAGAGCATTCTGGAAAGGAGGAATAGCAAGTGCCAAGGCCCTAAGAAGGGAGCAAGCCTTATCTTGTTAGAAGGACAGAATAAAAGCCGGTGTGCATGGAGCAGAGCCTGTGAGAGGCAGGATGGATGGAGATGGGGGTGAAGGGGCAGCCAGCAGCCCATGGATCCCCTGAGAACTTGCAGGCTGGGAGAGAAACCACCAGAAGGCTATAAGCAGGGAGTAATCACATCTGTGTTTGGAAAAGATCACTCTGGTTGCTGGGAGGAGAATGGACTCCACTGCAGAGAATGAAAGAGGAAGACCAGGCAGGGAATGGTTGCTTGGGCTAGGCTGGTAACCACAGAAATGATGAGACATAGTGGGGTTCAGGGTACTTTCTGGAAGGAAGACTGTCAGGTTGCTAGAATAAAGATAGTAAGTCCAGCCAGGTGTGGTGGCTCACACCTGTAATCCCAGCACTTTGGGAGGTCGAGATAGGCAGATCACTTGAGGCCAGGAGTTAGAGACCAGCCTGGCCAACATGGTGAAACCTCATCTCTACTAAAAACACGAAAATTAGCCAGGCATAATGGCAGGTGCCTGTAGTTTCAGCTACTTGAGAGACTGAAGCAGGAGAATTGCTTGAACCTAGGAAGTGGAGGTTGCAGTGAGCTGAGATCTCACCACTGCACTCCAGCCTGGGGGACAGAGTGAGACTCCATCTCAAAAAAAAAAAAAAGAAGATAGTAAGTCCAGCATCTGTAAATGCTCATGATCCCATGTACATACACACACACACACACACACACACACACACACACACGTGCACATATACACTATCCTTCTTATACAAACAGTGCAGACTCCAGGCTCTGGTGTCAAATGTGCTCAAATTCCAACTCACCTGCTTACTTGCCATTAAACTTGGTTCAAGTCACTGAACCTCTCCATCCCTAGGGTTCCTCGTCTGTAAAAAGGGGACAATAATAGAAGTGCCTCATGGTTGTTGTGAGGATTAAATTAGTTACTACATGGGAAGCATCTAGGGAAGGGCACCTGCCATGTACCGTATGAGTTTCCTGTTGCTGCTGTAACAAATTAGCACCAATTTCGTGGCTTATTAAAAACAACACAAATTTATTCTCCTGCAATTCTGGAGGCCAGAAGCTCAAGATCGGTTTCACTGGGCTCAAGTCAAGGCATGGGCAGGGCTGGTTTCTTTTGGAGGCTCCAGGCGGGGGAATCCGTTCCTTGCCTTTTCTGAAGGCTGCAGCATTCGTAGCCCCTGCTCACATCACACCCATGTCCACTTCCATCATCACATTGTCTCTTCCTCTTTGACCTTCTGGCCTCCTACTTACGAGGACCCTTGTGGTGATATTTTGGGCCCACCCGAATCAGCAAGAATAACCTTCCTATCTCAAAGTCTTTAACTTACATACATCTGCACTGTCCCTTTCTGCCACAGAAGGTAGCAGTCACAGGTTCTAAGGATTAGGACACAGATATCTTTGGGGGCCATTATTCAGCCCATGACATGTGGTAGGCAATAAATAAAGGTTCATTGTATTATGATAATGATACTTTACAATAATAATGATAAAATAATGATAATATTTTTATCATTATCATCTTTATCATTCCCATGAAAGCCCCAGAGCATATCCCTAGTCCCCTCCTCAGTTATGTAGGAGAGGAGGGGATGTTTAGAGAACCCCAACTCCTAGAAGCCCCCTGAGACTTGGCCCCAAGTCCAGGCCAGAGCTGGGGGCAATGCTGGCTGATCAGGCAGAGGCACAAGTCCCCGGGGTTGGTCCTGATGAGGGGAGCAGGGCACAGATGGTCAATGAGGCAGGAGTGTGCTCACAGCCTGGGGTCCAAGAAGGAGCCTGGAGTGCAGGCTAAGGCCTCCTAATGATGCTGTATTCCATGGGATCCTCAGGGCCTCCACTGGGGATGTGGCTACTGAGGGGGCCCATGTTGCAGTAGGGTGACTCCTGATCCTCAGCAGCCAAGGTCAGAGATGCATAGGAAATGTCCTCCTTCGGGAAGGGAGCCTGCAGCAAAGGCGGGCGCCAGGTCAGAGAGGACAATAGGAAGTGACAGTCACGGAGCAGAGGAGCCGTTGGAGGAGGCTGGTGGGGGTGGACCTTTCAGGGCTTCTGATCCCTCTCAAGCCCTCCAGCTTCCCGACTCTGCCAAGCACCCTGAGCTTCAACCACAACAGAACAGATTGTCCCCTAACGCTGCACCAGGGCAGCACATTTCCTGTGGAATCCCAAGTCATTCGGCCTGTCTGGGACTCTGCTGCCCAGCATGGGGACCATGTTTAGCCAGTCCCTGGGTCCCTGGGGCCAAGACTTGCCTGGGGGAGCTCCTAGGTGAGTCCTGCAGTGACTATGACTTTGCCCCACACCCACCTCTTCTATGCCCATGTGAGCGGGAGAAAGCTCACCCTCCAATGGGGCACAACAGCAGGCCTGTGCCCCCCTACCCCAGCCTCACAGCAGCCCCCACGGAGGACGCACCATGGCGACATATTCCACTTCCACCTGGTCAGCCTGGGCAGAGAAGGAGAGCTTCGTGGTAGCCTTTTGTGGGGAGGTTCTGGTCAGCTGCAGGGTCAGGTCTGCATAGCAGAGGTCGCCCTCCAGGGGCTGCGGTACCTGGGACAGGGAACACAGGCTGGGGAGTCACAAGATCTCTCTGTGGACACAGGTTCCTTTTCCGTGGTGGGACAAGAGCCTCTCTACTTCCCTGGGTGCCCCTCTCCCAGTTCCTTCTGTGTCCCCACTTCTCAGGCTCCCGTACCCCTCAGCCCTCATCCCCCTGGCTGCTTCCAGGCCCTCAGCCCCCAGACCCTGCAGGGGGCCATGAGGACGGGATACTTTGGCACAGGACTTATCTGATATTTTGGACCTTCTGGGAGATGGAAAATGAGGAAGGGGAAAGAAGCTGCCTGGTCTCTCTGGTCCAGCCTTGGGGAGTATCTTACCTGCTCTGGGGACATCCCAGCCGCTAAAAGACAAACAACAATGAACAATTAGAAAGCCCATTCCCCAGACTTACAAGAACCCCCAGGTCTAGCCAAGAGAAATATGGAAGAAAAGAGGTGAATTAGGTCCAGGCTCAAAGACAGGGACCTGGTTCTAATTCTGACTCCTCAGATGACACACTCTGTGACACAGGTCACGTCACCTCTCTGACCTTTCCCTTCTCCACCTGAAAAAGAAGGACATCCCAGCCCCCTGCTCCCCACATCATAGAACTGTGCACTCAGCTGATCAGGTGGCCCTGCCAGTCATCGGTCCCCAGGGAGTGAGTTTGCTTCTGCAGAATCCCGACTTGGCCTGGAATTCCACCGTGTCTCTCTACCCGATTCATCCTTCAGGGGTCAATTCAAAGTCATGCCTGCCTTCCGCAGCTACCCAGGCTGTCTAATCCCCCTCCCGGGCCCCCGAGGGGGCATGTGCTTTATGTCTGTCTCATCATCTTTATCCCACTGAATTCTAGTTAGTCCTCAGCTGGGCTGTAAGCTGCAGGATGGCCGGGCCTGTCCCTTCCTTACAACCTGGGTGCTTGGCTGTGCTGGGCAGGTGGTGTTCCATCAGTAAAAGTTGTCTGCAGAGACAGGCTTGCACCAAGCTGCCCCCCAACCCCAAGTAGAATGTACGAGCTGGGTCAGCACAGTAGGTATGGATTTTGTTTGGTTTGGTTTGGTTTGGTTTGGTTTGGTTTGGTTTGGTTTTGAGATGGAGTTTCTCTCTTGTCGCCCATGCTGGAGTGCAATGGCACGATCTTGGCTCACTGCAACCTCCACCTTCTGGGTTCAAGCGATTCTCCTGCCTGAGCCTCACGAGTAGCTGGAACTACAGGCGCATGCCACCACATCTGGCCAATTTTTTGTAGTTTTAGTAGAGAAGGAGTTTCACCACGTTGGCCAGGCTGGTCTCTAACTCCTGATCTCAAGTGATCCACCCGCCTCGGCCTCCCTAAGTGCTGAGATTATAGGCCTGAGCCACCGCATCCGGCGATTGGATTGGATTGTTTTTCCACTGGGATCGATTTTCAGGTGGTTCCTGGTCACTGTCTTCTTTCTCCCCTCCCGGGCCACCGCCCCCACATCCCTGCTCTAGGGACAACAAAGAAGTAGGGGGTTTTCCCCTGGTTTCAAAAGTCTAGATGCTGAAGAACACAGAAAGCACTTAGACCTTAGGTCATGGGAGAAAAAGTGATGAATAAGAGTCAGGCTCTAATTTTTAAAAAGTGTCACAGAAAACAAAGTAACTAACAGAGAGTCAGGCTCCCCTCTTCCCAGGCGAAAGATTTCCCAGGCTGTGGGGAGGGAGAAGTGTTGGAGAGAACCCCATGAGAGCCAGGACCCCGCTGTTCTAGAAGGGAAAGAGGTTACAATTGTGTGAGAATGTGGAAGTGAAGCCAGACACAAAAGGGTTTCGTTGAGGCCAGGCCTCATGATCTGTGAGTGCAGGCTCCCGCGCCAAGAGGTTCCTCCCTGAAGGGCAAGTTCACATAGGGCAAGTTCACACTGGGAAAGTCCAGTGGGCAGGGGAGGGACAGGAGGAAAGGCCATTCCAATTTCCTGATCAGACTTGGAGGGCTGTGTGTGTGTGCGCACGCGTGTAATGTGAGGAGTGCACACGCACTGTGGGATCCATGCAGTGTGTGTGCCCGTGATCGAGCATGTGTGTGTGCATGCACTGGTGTGTTTGTGTCTGTTTCTCCCTCCCCATTCCATGTCAGCTCAGTACCTCCTTGACAACCACACAGACCCGACTCTAGCATCTAGTCTAGACACTCCAGACTGGACCACCCACCTAAGACCATCAACACTTCTGCCACCAAGAGCCAATCCAGGAAAGAGAGAGGGAGGTGGATCAAAGAGAAGGGAAGGTGAAGGACAGAGGTGCAGGGCAGGCGGCAAATGCCAAAACCTCCTAGGGCTCCCCTACAAGCTCCAGAGTGCCCCCCGGTCGCCTCGCACTGCCAGCTGCCGAGGGCCTTTGGGACAGCGCCCTTTCCAGATTGTACGGGTAATTCACTTGGACCAGATAGCTCCCAGATGCCAATGCTGGCCATTGGCCACACCCCCAGCCACCCGGCCCAGTCTCAGCCCAGCCTCACCCAGGTCCTCTCACCTTTCTGCTGGCACTTCATTATCCTCCAAGCCAAGAGCGAGGCAGCCACCAAAAGCAGCAGCAATATGGTGAAGATGAGGGGCAGGAGGACGCTGAGCTTCAGGAGGTTGTGCCTAGAAACAATGGCAAGTGTCCCCTGCACCCCAGGCTCACCGTCTGCCTCTCAGCCCAATCCCTCCCACCCAGTAGCAGGGGAGGGCTGCACACCTGATGAGCTGCAGGTCTGTGGTTTGCAGCCCGGGAACCCTCACTCCTGGGGACCCTCGAAGATGGGTTTACAATGAGTACACACAGACACAAAGAAGGGAACGGAACAAGAGACACCAGGGCCTACTTGAGGATGGAGGATGAGAGGAAGGAGAGAATCAAAAAACTACAAACTACCTGTTGGATACTATACCTATTACCTGGGTGACAAAATAATCTGTACACAAAATCCCAGTGACATGCAGTTTACCTACATAACAAACCTGTACATGTACCCCTAAAGCTAAAACAAAAGTTTAAAAATTTAAGAATTTTAGCAAAAGATAGCTGCTTTTGTTTTTTGTTTGTTTTTGAGACAGAGTCTCACTCTGTCACCCAGGCTGGAGTGCCATGGCACGATCTCGGCTCACTGCAACCTCCACCTCCCAGGTTCAAGAGATTCTCCTGCCTCAGCCTCCCAAGAAGCTGGGATTACAGGCGCCCACCACCATGCCTGGCTAATTTTTGTATTGTTAGTAGAGACAGGATTTCACCATGTAGACCAGGCTGGTCTCGAACTCCTGACCTCAAGTGATCCACCCGCCTCGGCCTCCCAAAGTGCTGGAATTACAGCCATGAGCCATGGCGTCCAGCCTTAACAAAAGATAGTTTTTAAAAAGAGAAAAGGGTTCCATGAGTGGTTTTAATGTGTCTAGAAGCCTAACAGAAAGTGTAGGGCAGCAGACTCCTGAAACACCTCCTGCTTCTACACTTGCCCTCTCTACTGGGTTGAATAGCGTCCTCTTCCCCCGCAAATTCACATCCACTCAGACCCGTGAATGTGACCTATTTGTGGATGTAATCAAGTTAAGATGAGGTCATACTTAATTAGCATGGGCCCTGATCCAGCGACTGGTGTCCTTACAAGAGGGAAATTTGGACACGTAAACACACAGGAGGAAGACCATGAGACGACAGAGACAGGGATCAGAGTGATGCCACCACAAGCCCAGAGGATCGCAGGCGCCCACCAGCAGCTGGAACAGAGGCATAAGACAGACGCTCCCTTTGAGCCCCAGGGCGGAAATGACCCTGGCGACACCTTAATTTCCAATTCCTGACCTCCTTAGCTGTGAGATCGTATTTATTTTGCTTTGAGCCACTCGTAACGGCAGCCACAGGACACTGACAGGCCCTACTGTAGTGGATCATCGCCACAGCAGCCGGAGGAGCCTGTGAACCCAATGTCAGCACACGCCCCTCCCTTGCTCAAAATTCTGCAACAGGCCAGGCACGGTGGCTCATACCTGTAATCCCAGCACCTTAGAAGGCTGAAGTAGGCAGATCACTTGAGGTCAGGAGTTCGAGACCAGCCTGACCAACATGGTGAAACTCCGTCTCTACCAAAAAATACAAAAATTATCCGGGTGGGGTGGCATGCGTCTGTAGTCCCAGCTACTTGGGAGGCTGAGGTGGGAGAATTGCTTGAACCCAGGAGGCAGAGGTTGCAGTGAGCTGAGATCATGCCACTGCACTCCAGCCTGGTCGACAGAGCAAGACCGTGTCTCAAAAAACAAATAAACAAATAAATAAATTAAATTAAATTAAATTAAATTAATCCAGTAACAGCCCCATTTCAGCCCATGAAAATGGCCAGGGCTGACAATGGCCTCCACTCCTGCCTACGTCTCACCCCTGCCTGCTTCACTCCATCCTCACTTCCTGCTGCTCCTCAAATACTCCAGGCACACCCCCACCTTAAGGACCTTATTCCAGTAGCATTTTTCTCCAGGAACATGCTCCCTCCAGAGCTCTGCTTGGCTCACTCTCTCACCTCTTCCAGTCTTTGCTCAAGAATCACTCTCTCGACCACGTGCAGTGGCTCACACCTGTATTCCCAGCACTCTGGGAGGCTGAGGCGGGCAGATCACATGAGGCCGGGAGTTCGAGACCAGTCTGGCCAACATGGCAAAACCCCGTCTCTACTAATAATACAAAATATTAGCCGGGCATAGTGGTGCGCATCTATAATCCCAGCTACTCCCAGCTGCTTGGGAGGCTGAGGCAGGAGAATCGCTTGAACCCAGGAGGCAGAGGTTGCAGTGAGCCGAGATCCTGACACTGCACTCCAGCATGGGTGACAAAGTGAGACTCCATCTCAAAACAAACAAACAACGACAAAAGAAAACTGTTGTGGGCTGGGCTGGATTGTACACCACCACCCCCAACCCCAATCCATATGTTGAAGTCCCACCCTCTAGTATCTCAGAATGTGATTGTATTTGAAAACAGGATCCTTAAAGAGGTGATTGAGGTTAAATGAGGTCACTGAGGTGGGCCCTAATCCATTATGACTGGTGTCATTAGAAGAGATCAGGACACAGACACGCGCAGAGGGACGACCATGTGAAGACATCGGAAGAAGACAGCCATCTACAAGCTGAGAGGGCTCAGAAGAAACCAACCTCGTGGATACCTTGATCTCAGACTTTTAGCCTCCAGAATTGTGAGAAAATAAATGTTTGTGATTTAAGCCCCCATTCTGTGGTATTTTGTTAGGGGCAACCCAAGCAAACTAATACAAGGACTGTCTCATTCATTACTGGATGTGCAGAAATTTGAAGAAGAAATTCATCAATCAATTAATTGTGTCAACCCTATGTGGTTACACTAATTAGCTCTAGATTGTAAGTACCTCGAGGGCAGGCATTTTGATTATTTGGTCCATTCTTGTACCGTTTTTAATTCCCTTAAACAGTGACAGGCTAGAGTGAGTGCTCAAGAGTTATGTGTTCAATAAATGAGTGAATAAACCATGTCATGCTAATCAAAGGCCCTAATTGGGTACTTATATATGGCTTCAATTCATAAAATAATTTTTAAAAAAATCTTAACTATTACTTATTCAAAGCAGTTTGGTAGAAAATAAACTTTCAAATCAGAGAGCATCCTGTATTGATTTGCTTAGGAAAAAGAAAAATATGGACAAAGTGAGGTGGCTCATGCTTGTAATCTCAGCACTTTGGGAGGCTGAGGTGGGCATATCACTTGAGGACAGGAGTTGGAGACCAGCTTGGCTAACATAGCAAAACCCTATCGCTACTAAAAATTGGCTGGGCATGGTGGCTCACACCTGTAGTCCCAGCTACTCGGGAAGCTGAGGCACAAGAATCACATGAACCCGGGAGGCAGAGGTTGCAGTGAGCTGAGATCATACTACTGCATTCCAGCCTCAGCAACAGAGTGAGAATCAGTCTTAAAAAAAAACCAATTAGCTGGGCAAGATGGCAGGCGACCGTAGTCTCCCAGCTACTCAGGAGACTGAGGTGTGAGAATCGCTTGAACATGAGAGGCAGAGGTTGCAGTGAGCCAAGATGGCACCATGCACTCATCTGAGCTACAAAGCAAGACTCTGTCTAAAAAAAAAAAAGAAAAAAGAAAACCTTAAATAGTCTAATTAAAAAAAAAAAAGAAAAAAAACAGAAGGCAATGGGAGAGGGGGAGTAGAAGGGTCTCAGGTGGTCAGAATACCAAGGACCTCTCACAGGGATTTTGTGGCAAGGTCCCAGCAATAAGAGACCTTGACACTTGGTGGACCTAAAAACAAAGTCAAGAGGGCCAGGGCAAGTGAAAGGAGGAAATGAAAGGGGACGTTCCACTTCTAGAAAGCCCAGCTGACTGCAAGTGGTTGGCCAGGGCACTAAGAGGCGTGACCCGAGCTATGGTGTAGAGCCCAGAGACTTCCATCCAAGCACCAGTGCCACCCTTGACTGAGGAAGGGACTGAGGCTCGGTTCCTTCTTCTGTAGAATGGGAACATTTATATCTGCCCCTTCTTCCACATGAGGTGGGTAGGAAAGGTCAAAGAAAACAAAATAATGCACAGGAAAGCCTTTTGTGAACTGCCAGGTGCTCCAGAGATGTGAGAAACTATCGGCATCACTGTTCTTGCCATAACAGTAATCAGAGGAAAATTAAGGGAAACAGGACTTCCCCAAGCCCTGCTTTCCTTGTCCTCCCAGAAGTTGGACCCAAGAGCCATCCCTGCAGCTCCATGACCCCATGGCCCACTCACATGAGCCACACCGTCCTCACTGACTGCCAACTCATCAGTCGCCCACACTAAGCTCTGCACTCCACGGGGACAGTCCATGTCTGGGTCCCCTGAGCTCAGCACGGCGCAGCCAGGTCAAAGTTATTATAACACAGTAAAAGTGGGGTGAATGAATGAACCTACAAACAGCACTGAGCTGCAGAATGAAGGATGTGTGGAGACTGAAAGGACACCATGTGGTCAGACAGCAAGTGGGAAGGGCTCCCAGCTTCCTCATCCTCACCAAGGAGCATGCAGGTCCCAGACAAAGCTCAGGCTGGAAACTGGGACTTCGAAGAGTTCTCCATTGGAGGAGTTTGGGCCAAGTAGTCCACAGGGGAACCAGAGTTGGTTTACCTCTTGTCCAAGTGGTGGCCAGTCAGAGTTGGGGAGTTGCTGGTTTCTTCTGGGGTGACTGGTGCTGTGAATGTAGTGGAGGCAGACGTGGTGGGGGCAGCAGTTGACGCTGTAGTTGATGCTTGGTGTATAGACCAGACCACAGAAGACCCTGCCCATGAGCCCACCCACAGCCCTGCACCCGGCTCTGAGCCTGGGCGGAGGTCTGGACTGCTACTATGGGAAGGGGCTGCAGCCTGGACTGCTCATGTCTCCCTGGCTTCTAGGAGACTCCAGAGGCTCCTGGGGCTGGGCAGGGTCCAGGGAGGATGCTGAGCAGGCCCTGGGAGGGTTAGAGGGGGTTGGGAAGAGCCTAAGGGCAGCTGGAGATCAGCTGAACTTGAGCAACCCTGCTGCTTAGGACAGCGCCTTGGCCAATCTCCACCCCAGCCCTGTTTATCCATCAACAACAGGAGCAGAGTGGGAACTTGCACAATGATCCTAGATTTGTGACATCAAAGATCAGGACCAGCCCTGAAAGAAATCATAATATTCAGGAAGAACCTTGACTTTGGGCAAGTTACAAAGCCTCAGTGATGGCGATGCCCCCTTCTGAGGGGTATTGTTAGGACTCATTGAGACAATGCACGTTCAGCACTTTGCAAACTAAAACATGCCCCAGAGGCTGCAGGTGCAGCATGGGGCCCTGAGGACTGTGGTGCTCCCTCCATGCCACAAGGGCCCTCGAGCTGGTGCTGCTCATCTTCTGAGGGACAGCAGAATAAGCCCAACAAATAAACGCATGCAAACCAAGGCACTGGGAACCCTGAGCCGACCCTCCCAGGAGTGTCTGCATTCTAGAAGGAAATAGGAAGAGAACATCATTAAGTCTACATGCACAAATGGCTCATGGTGAGATGTCAGGGACCAGAAATGCAGCTGTTTGACTGTGAAGACCTTTCTGGACTTGGGAATTAGACGCCAGCACCCCAACTATGCTGAGCCTCTTTTTCCCCCAAGTTAAATGTGGAATGGGAGGTGGCAACAGCAGCTGTGAAGCCCCAGCCCAGAACTCCACCAAAAGCAGGACACACTTGGGCACCAGAGGTCTCCAAAAAGCAATGGCAAGGATTGGGGTCACTGGGTACCATGGGAAGGCATCCCTTTGGCCCATGGGCTGAAACTGGGCCCATCACCTTGTCCTCAGGCACTGAGCTGGGCAGAGGTAAAAAAAAAGTGCCTAGAAAGTCTTAATTCCTGGCCGGGCGCAGTGGCTCACGCCCGTAATCCCAGCACTTTGGAAGGCTGAGGCGGGCGGATCACGAGGTCAGGAGATCGAGACCATCCTGGCTAACACGGTGAAACCCCGTCTCTACTGAAAATACAAAAAAAAAAATTAGCCGGACGTGGTGGCGGGCGCCTGTAGTCCCAGCTATTTGGGAGACTGAGGCAGGAGAAAGGCGTGAACCCAGGAGGCGGAGCTTGCAGTGAGCAGAGATCAGGCCACTGCACTCCAGCCTGGGGAACAGAGCGAGACTCCGTCTCAAAAAAAAAAAAAAGAAAGATCGTGGAGGGAGCCCTGGGAGCCATGGGGGCATTGAAAAGAGGCCCTGCTCCCCCAATCCCAGGTGATCAGTTAGGGTTCTATGAGAATCAGGACTCAAGTGATAGATCACTCAGTGACAATTAAGTCACTTGAGTAGGACCTCAGAGACCGGGACAGAGCAGGCCCTGAGAGACACACACACAGATATACACTCCCTCTTACCTGGGTCAATGATCACTTGAACTATGACCCCAAGGTCAGTTCCGGTTCTCTCAATTCCACACCAGTAAGTGTCAGCATCAGTTTGCATGAGATCCTCCATGGTCACAGTGAATGTGTGGTTTTTCTGATTGTCCTTGATGGACACCCGGTCCCTCTTCACCTCCTGCTCCGATCCAGTGGTTTTAACAAGGATCTTGCAGCCATACCAAGTAGCTCCTCGACACCACCACTTCAAGTAGGTCTCCCAGTCTGAGTTGTAAACACACTGCACCATCAACGAGCCCCGCTCCGGGCCATTCACTGTCATTGGACCACTGATGTCAGTGGCAATGGAGTAGCCTGGAAAACACAAATTCATGTGCTGTCACCTCTACCCCAAGGGCAGGGCCACAGCTTTCTGTTTAGGGAATAGTTCCCAAATCCAAAGTTTCACAGGTTAAATAACAGTCAAGGAAGAAATACACCTTCCACAGACAAAACTTTTGTCCTTCAGTTTTCCACTGGGTCAAAGTCATCAGGAAAATCACTGAATAGCACAACAACAGATCCCCCAAAAAATAAAAATATTGGCACTAAGCAATAATAGCTTCCTGCAGTTCATCCCTCTCTCCACCCTACAGCCAAGGTAATCTGTATATTTCAAGGAATATCCTTTTGCAACCATCTTTGTGTTAGACCGGTCTGGTGGAGAGGAAATACCAGAAGACCCATTTCCACAGGGTCTTACCTTGACTCTTAGCACTGATGACCCTCATGAGGTGGAGCTGAGGCAGCCACATCAGATGGCTGTGGAGAGGCTGTCCCGGTGGTCCTAATGATTTCTAGTGGTTTTGGAATAAACCAACCTGGATGAATGCCTTTGAAGTTGACCAAAACAGCAACGGCAACTGGTCTCCATGTGCTATAGGATCCATACAACACAGATCCCACTTTCTTCAATGAATTGCTTTGACCCCTTTGTCAAACTGCAAATTTATGGATTTCCCATTCTGTTCCATTGATCTATTTGCCTACCTTTCTGTCAATCCTACACTCTCCTGATTACTATCACCTTGTAAAAAGGCAAGTATTATAGACAGTAAAGCAGTGTTTGCTTTCTTTTTTTTTTTTTTGAGACAGGCTCTCACTGTATCGCCCAGGCTGGAGTGCAGTGGCACAGTCATGGCTCAATTATGGCTCACTGAAGCCTTCACCTCCCAGGCTTAATTGATCCTCCCACTTCAGCCTCCCGAGTAGCTGGGACTACAGACACATGGCTCCACGCCTGGCTAATTTTTGTAGTTTTAGTAGAAACAGGATTTTGTCATGTTGTCCAGGCTGGTCTCGAACTCCTGGGCTCAAGCGATCCACCCACCTCAGCCTCACAAAGTGCTGGGATTACAGGCAGGAGCCACAATACCTGGCCTGCATTTTCTTAAAATATATGTTTTCCTTCAAAATCATGTCCTTTGCAGGAACATGGATGCGGCTGGAGGCCATTATCCTAAGTGAATTAACGCAGAAACAGAAAACCAAATACCACATGTCCTCACTTAGAAGTGGGAGCAAAACATTGGTTACACATGGACATAAAGATGGGAACAACAGAGGAGGGAAGCAGGCAAGAACAAAACAGAGGAGGGAAGGGAGCAAGCACTGGAAAAAACTACCGATTGGGTACTGTGTTCACTATCTGGGTGACAGGTTTGATTGAGGCTCAAACCTCAGCATCATGCAATATATCCAAACCTGCACAGATACCCCCTGAACCTAAAATTTAAAAATTTTTTAAAGGAAAAAAAAATATATATATATATATTATATATATATATACATGTTCTTTTTGTTCTTTCTCTCATATTCTCACCTTTGAAAGATTCCAGATACAGGGAAATATTTCTTTACTTAAAAAAAAAAAAAAAGGCCCAGCTGGGTGACTCACACCTGTAATCCCTGCACTTTGGAAAGCAGGCAGATTACCTGAGGTTGGGAGTTCGAGACCAGCCTGACCAACATGGAGAAACGCCGTCTCTACTAAACATACAAAAATTAGCCAAGCGTGGGTGGCGCATGCCTGTAATCCCAGCTACTTGGGAGGCTGAGGCAAGAGAATTGCTTGAACCCAGGAGGTGGAGGTTGTAGTGAGCCAAGATGGCGCCATTGCACTCCAGCCTGGGCAACAAGAGCAAAACTCTGTCTCAAAAAAATAATAAATAAATAAAACTAAACAAAACTAAACTAAACAAAAACCCAGCACTTCAAGCACAACAAATGGCGCAGACATAGGGCCTCAGTGTCAGAGAGACCCTGGGAAGGGGTGAGGACCACGGCAGCTTGGACTGGAGAGCAGGGGATCCATGCGAAGGCACAGCCCTCCTTCCACTCCAGCCTGGGTCCTGGGGAAAGAAGTGGGCTCTGTGACAAGAACACACAATGGGGAAAGGACAGTCTCTTCAATAAATGGTTCTGGGAAAACTGGAGATCCACGTGCAGAAGAATGAAGCCGGACCTTTATCTCACAACATGTACAAAAACCAACTCACAATAGAGAAGACATAAATGTAAGACCTGAAACTTAAAGCTCTCAGAAAAAAACCTAAGGGAAAAGCTCCACAACATTGGTCTGGGCAATGATGTCTTGGAGAGGACGCCAAAAGCACGGGCAACAAAAGCAAAACTAGACAAATGGGATTCACAAAACGAAAGAGCTTCTGCACAGCAAAGGAAACAATCAAGAGAATGAAGCAACAGCCTACAGACCGAGAGAAAACATTTGCAAAACATACATCTGATGAAGAGCCAATATCCAAAATACATAAGGAACTCAAATCAATAACAAGAAAACAAATAATCTAATTAAAAACTGGGCAAGGAATCTGACCAGATATTTCTCAAAAGAAGAGCTATAAATGGGCAACAGATCTATTTTTAAATACTCAGCATCTCTAATCACCAGAAAAATACAAACTAAAACCAAAGGAGGGTCAGGCACAGTACTCACACCTGTAATTCCAGCACTTTGGGAGGCCAAGGTGGGTGGATCATCTGAAGTCAGGCATTTGAGACCAGCCTAGGCAACATGGTGAAATGCTGTCTCTACTAAAAATACAAAAATTAACCAGGCGTGGTGGCATGCACCTGTAATCCCAGCTACTCAGGAGGCTGAGGCGGGAGAATCACCTGAGAATCACCTGAACCTGGGAGGCAGAGGTTGCAGTGAGCCAAGATTGTGCCACTGCACTCCAGCCTGGGCAACAGAGCGAGACTCCATCTCAGAAAAAGAAAAAAAAAAAGAATTAAAAGGGGTATGTGACTGTATATCCTGCACTTATTAAAAAGTTAATAAACCATGAATAAAATAAAAGGATATAATAATAAAAGGATATTTAAACAATGTTATGCCAATAAATTCACAATTTTAGATGGAATAAACAAATTCCTAGAAAAAAATTATACAGGCCAGGCACTGTGAGAGGCCAAGGCAGGTGGATCAACTGAAGTCAGGAGTTCAAGACCAGCCTGGCCAACATGGTGAAACTCTGTCTCTACTAAAAATACAAAAATTAGGCCAGACGCGGTGGCTCAAGCCTGTAATCCCAGCACTTTGGGAGGCCGAGACGGGCGGATCACGAGGTCAGGAGATCGAGACCATCCTGGCAATTTGAGACGGAGTCTTGCCTGTCTCCAGGCTGGGTGCAGTGGTGTGATCTTGGTTCACGGCAACCTCTGCTCCCTGGGTTCAAGCGATTCTCTTGCCTCACTCAGCCTCCCAAGTAGCTAGGACTACAGGCGCCGCCACC